AATTAACGATGATGAGCAAATTCATGAGGAAAATGAGGAGGATGCAGAAATCGCAGAAAACCAGGGCTTTGGGAAGTTCTGAAGGAATCGATTCTCCTTCCGCGAATATTCAGGGCTAATCAGTTCAGATATCGGTTTAGAGATGATAAAAACGGTAAGAAATAGGTTCTGAAATGAGTTGACCGTTCTCTAAAATTTAAAATTTCATAGTTTACGAAGGTGACGAATCACGATGAATTGAAACGGGAATAAAAAATTAGCAAAAGGGACAAAAAATTTAAAATAGCCTGTTAATGTGACTAATCAACAAAATAAAGATGTCTCATATCAGAGATAAAAATTTTCTTGTTTAGCTTACTTCTATAACCAAGATCGAGGCTCTCAAGATCAAATCCCTTGACAAAACAGACGGTAACTTGATTTTGAAAAACTCATACACATTTCAGAATAGTAGAACCGCTGCATTATTCAGCGTGTGTGTATAGACCAAAATACTTTAATCAAATTCTAGATGCTGGTGACATGCAATGATATATCTGAATAGATAAATCAGTAAAATCAGTCAGTATATGTTGCAATCTGTCGTACATCGCATTGCCAATTTCTCGAATGTCGCTGGATCTAGCTAACGCTTTGAAAAGTCGCTTCGGAAGCATCCGGTCGAAGAAGAACAACCGGAGACGTAAACGTAGAAACGATGAATGCATGCTTGGATGAACTGGCGAACTTTTACTAGTTTTAGTCTCCTCACATAACAGGAGCTTTACGGAATTCCAAGCAGATATTTTGTGTGAGCAAGTCAAAATGTTTCTATAATTTCTGGCCAGAAAGCATAAAACCGCAAAAGTGGGGTTTCTAGGGAGCAATATCATCTAAAGAATTCTTTCATCTTAAGACATAAATAAGAGGTAAATTTCTGTAATACACTCGGCAAGAAAATCGCGCGTGAATGATGCAATGACGAAACTTGCCAGTTCCATCTCTCCAAGCGACTGTTATACGTAATCCGTTTGTACAGGAAAACAGACCGCTTCGAAAGAATACAGTAGTTGATATATTTTCCCGGGTTTTAAAGGGTACAGATCACAGGATTTAATTTCACCCGAAATCTGCGAGTAACTTATCACTTCCGGTGTCTGAATACTATATTTTATTCTCTGCATAATGTTATTTTAGATTTAAAATTTGAATGCAGCAAGCCTTCTCAAAAAATAAGCTAAAACAGACCATGAATAAGTCAAGTGAAAGAGTAAGACATTCTTATTATCGAAGCTTTAAAAGAAACAGAAAAAACTAGCTAAATCAACCAGATGTTTCAATAAGGAAATCTTCGACTCCAGTTGTCTTCTGGCTAAGCTCAGACTCTGGCACAAGATCGGGAACGTTGGAAGCACTGTCGGACGCGTCTGCCTCCGCGATCCGAAAGGAGAAGCGGCCAAAGAAGATAAAACTGAACTTAGACTAATACAGTTATGATTATATTATCACACGAACTGAAAAAAAATCTGCTATAGGACTATTCCGTTAAAATGATTATTTAGGATGAGATTATGGACACTGATTCATAAATCAAAAAACAAAGTACAAGAGACCTATTTCCTTACGGGGACAACTTGAACAATGATAAAAGTGATTCAATGAAAGCACCTGTACATCATAAGGTATGAAATACAGACTTACATCAACGAATACCGTACGCTTTTCGCAGACACCAAGTGGTTCCCAGCAGTGGTTCGTCGAAGAGTCGACCAACTTTCCTGCCTGATCATCGCAGAACATGTGTTCGGTATCTGGGCTCGGAGGAGCAGTAATTTCGGTATTTTTCGGTATCGTGCAACATTGAACATAAAAATTAGGCACAACAGTGAATTCTTCGCTCTTTAAAGATGCAACGCATGTAGGATGACTGCGGAAGGTGGCCCTTTGTTTTTGATTTGAAGACAGAAGAAGGCTCGAAAATGCCGGGAGAAACAAATGCCCCTGGATGACTGCCGGAACGTTGACCTGATTGCTGCCTAGAAAGAAAACATAAATAAGGCATGGATGTGCAAGAAATAGACGAAAAGGTAACTCACTTTTCGACAACAGGTTTACCTCCGCTGAATTAGTGTCCGAGTGCTGCTGCGGGCAGCAGCAGTGAAGAAGTTTCTGGAGCACTGAACAGCAATGCGCACATGAGAAGCAGCAACCCGACATATCCGTCTGAACGTGCTGCGACTGAACGACCGCCAAACCTAAGTGGTAGTCTTCAATCACTTTACGCGGTGGCCTGGATCCACCCTTCATGCGACTCTTGCTACTGGCTAATATCAAAGATGTGTTCACATTTCGCTTCATCCTCTTTCGATTTTGGACCTTCTTCTTCAGATCCAACGTTTGCTTCTTGAGAGATTTACGGATATTGACCTTTGGGACAAGCCGCTTTCGAGCTGAACTTTGAATAGCTTTAGATTCATTAGATCTTCGCACTTGCATCAAAACTGATGGTTTCACTCCATGAGGCTTTAAGCACTCCCTTTTCTTTGAATTTCGCATCACTAACTAGACCATTTTCAAACACCGCAGTCAACAAGTTTGAAAATTGTAAAGTATGACTGAAGAATGATTTGCAAGTTTATGGCAAGATTTTCAAGATTTGCAAGATCCTTTTATCGTTGTACAGCCAAATCAATAGCAAGAATGTACAATTAAAAATCAACCGCCTAGAACAAGTAGCTACAAACTTGTCGAAATTGTACATGAATTTCAGATGTTGTAATTAAATTAATGCTAATTGCTATCAGTCTATATCAGCAAATCAACCATGTCTGTCATATTTATATTTGCACTGCATCAGGATGAAGACTATCTGGTAATGCAAATGGTCGATGTAATAATTCAATAATAAAAAAAATACTGCCTTTCATCTGATTTTTATTCACTGCCTAAAACTGTGAAAATTAAATTTCAAGAACTAACGCAAAATTATGAAATATTAAACATGAAAATATGAAACTCTGAACCAACGTATAATTGTCAAAACTGGCCCCGGTATTGAGGTTCCCCGGACGAATTGCTGGTATTCGATACCTCCGGTAAAATGAATGCGCACTTAGGTGATCTTAGTGTGACCCAGGCAGGTGCCTGCAATTCTTTACACCTAGTCACACACTGATTTTGCTCTCATATAAATCACCAGTTGAGTGACCAGTTGAGTAGGTGGGCAGAAAAAACAAAAAACACAAAATTCAAATATCCATGCTAGTACGCAATAACATCAAAATATGTAAAGCGATAAAAACGATCTTGCTTAATTACCATGCCAGTCATTAAAGAGACACATTACTGGGCAAAAAAATACTCAAAATGTCGAAACAGACGAAAAATTTATGTCTCGATGGAAAATAACTTCGAAGAATTCATCTATTTCCCACAGATTGTTATATTATAAAAAATTACATCTTCTATGACCGTTTCTCCTTTCCGGTCCCGAAGCCCTCAGCTACATCATTCTGAAATGTATTCAGATGAATTTTAAATTGTTCACAACGTAGAATTAACCGATTTCACTCGATAACTTCCTACAGTTGACTATGTTCGTGTTATCAGATAGCTATCACGTAAATGCATTGATGCTGCTTTGAGGGAAAGAGAGTATGGGACCTCAGAACCATCATGGAATTCCTGTTATACCGGAAGAGGAGTCGCCTATATCATCAAGGGCCGCGCAGGCTGATAAAAATTGGCGATGATCAAATTTTGCTTCTCGTATTTTGTTAGCTGCGGGGTGCAGAGCGACGACAACTGTCAAAGACGATCAAAAGGTCTGCAACTCTTTTCAAACTGAAGAGAAAGAGGACGTCATGCCATTACAGAAAGCCAAATAAGGTTCCATGGGTCGCGACGAAAACTGACTCACCTCCCCCTCACTCATGGAATAAAAACGACAACTAGTAGATGTGAACGCAATGTACTGACTAGATATAGCTAAACTCTCGTCAAAGAACCGTTGCAATTGTGGAATTCTAAACATGTCACATGTCACGGTTGAAGCTATTCAGGCAGGTGTCGACTCCATGACATGCGCTTTGCCAGTGTTGCCGCTCTGATGCAAACCTATTTGAATGACAGAATTATTGATTGGAAATCTGTCATCGGAAAAGTGGCAATAACCTGAATGAGGTTACAACGGGCTAAAAATTTGACCTTGTCACGTGTTTCTGCGCCAATGGTTATCAAATCGCATTTCCGTTAGTCGCTACTCCAACAGCTGCTGTACCTCATGGGATGGAAGGCTAAGCAACTAGATAGCCAAGAACAATTACGAAATGGCGCCAAATCAATGTCAAATTTCACGCAATGTGTTCCAACGCGGCTCTACACAAGTGTTTACTGACGACTCAAAGGCACCGCGAGATGCACGTAGAACGGCATTATTGTTTAGCAAATCTTTTTTTTGCTTATCATAATGACTCAGGTTTTCAGTTTTGGCCGAATAGCAATTGTCGACTATGCCGTTTTCATGTGCTCTAAGCCATTGTGCGTATGCATAGAAAACAGAGTATAGGACACAGCAAGAGCGCCGGATAGGGCAGCTACAAATCTTCCAGCGACTTGTGTACCTCACAACAGTTGAGGAATCAAAGTGTACTTACGTATTTCATCGGCTGTTAATGCAGTTATAAAATTGTATTTGCAGGTGAAGTAGAGACGAACCTACAGCTGCTGTACAGGCAATTTCTCGATCATAGTGTCATTTACCGGGAGCGGAAGGAAGACTAATGCTTAAATTGAAAGCAGCGTCAGATTCGTAGTCATACGACCAACTATCTCTATGAGGTGACGATCCAAACATTCAAGTTATTAATCAAGACACTGAAACGAGAAACCCTAACCACTTTATGATCAAATACTTCAACGGAGTCATTCATACAACGTCATTCATCTGGTGAACCTCATATGTGGAAGGCTGAAATCCTATCTGTAGCGGCTTTTACTACAGTGCGCTACTAAAAATTTAATTTTAACGGCTATAACGGCTTGATACGCCCATTCGAAGAAAATCTCTTGCATCACAGGTTATGATCACATTACTCAATTGATTGAATGTTCTTCTCGGGTACCGAGCAGTGCTAACTCAAATACCCCAGAATATTTCGTAAATATGACTATTTGGTGTATCAAAATGTCCCATGGACCGCTCAAGCACCAAAATGCCCTGTCAACATATTTCGGAGTCAACATGGCAACACTAGAATTCGTGAAAGATCCAACAGAAAGGAAGTACTTCGTTTTGCTAGCCGTTGGAGGGACCGCAGCGCCAATAGAAAGCTTCTGTGAAACCGGGTCTCTTAAACGGGGTTTAAGAACTATGAATGAGGCAAAATTCGCGAAGTCGCATTGCCCGGTTCCGCAGGTTATTTCCACATTGAAAGGGAAACCCTAATTATCTTCAGAAGCGGTGCCGCATGGTCTATTGAGCGAATACACGTGCAATCCACAACTATACCTCACAGTCGAGATAAGTCAAGTCATTGGCCAAATCTCCTTCAGGTTGGCAGGCCGCGTTTTAGACGATTTTGGAGGAATTTAAACAGGCCTTTTTGCGCCCATAACTAAATCCAACGATTTTTAGGACCACTATAAAAAGAGCAGCTGTTATGTTGGCACCCTGTGATGTGTACATTAAGTAAGCGACAAAGAGCTATGCAGAGTATGGAGGAAATATAACACAATGCTCATAAATATAAACATATCAATGTTCGTTTCATTGATGTTCTTAATTATCCTATCTCTGAAACCAGTACATATGTTTAATGAATTTAATCTGCCTGAATGGTTTGCAAAAGAAGTTTTTAGTTCCGAATGGCGTAAACAATACAGTCAGGCAATCAATGTCAATCATCCGCGAGGAGTCTCGGCAATCCTCACCCCGCAGTAGGTATGTCGCTATCATAGCGCCAATAGATGAGCCGCATGGTACTCTCTAAATGCGCCCGTTGAGTGACGTTTTGACCGCGAAATAATCTCACCTGCATAGCTGGTCAATAGTGCTAAAACTTCTGCCAAAAGTGTTGAGCGTCGGGATAGATAATTCATGCAAATCTTAAGGTCAAAGGGTTTGGCGCTCGGTCAAAAAGCCGCCATCTGCAAGCGCAAATATTTTAAGATAGAGTGGCATCTGACCGATACTTTGATCGGCGACCGCGGTTAAATACAGGAATGTAACTCATTTAATTGAAACAAAAATATCTCAAGCAATTTTACTGCTAAATGAATATGAAATCTGAGACATCGCTACAGATGTAATTAAAACGGATGCAGGAATAGCCACGGCCCAGCAGCTGAATTCATAGAACTACATCACATAGCAATGCAAATTTACTAGGCTATTTTAATCCCCTTCGTGCGAGAGGGTTCCCATTCATTATCTCTTCCATTTAAAACCACACTACTTCCGTCTACTGCTCGCCATTCAGCGCCGTCAGTTTCTGGAGAAATGAGGACAAATATATCATGTCATATAGAGACGATGATATGCAAGAACAACGATAACGAACCAAGTAAATGAAACATACTGCGAATGAATGAAACATTGTCATTTACATAATATAACACTGCAGAATATCTTCATCTTCCATCGCCGCTTCTTCTCTCGGGTCGCGGAGGCAGCCACGACAGAGAGAGCTTCCAACG